AAAGTTTGCCAGCAAAGTGATGCCAGCGATGCACAAACTGCACACAGATATGAGCAAATGTGTGAATTCGATTGCAGGAGTGAATCACCACAAGGTAAGCTTAACCCTCAGAGGGCTGTGCAGGATTTATTAGAGCGTTTGACTTTGTTAACTCGTGGCTCGGTTTAAAAAACTGGACAAAAGTTTTAATGGTGTTTTCTGGTTCCACAGCACATCAGTAATGAAGAGACTCATCCCATGATGTCTCGCTGGGAGCAGGATCTGCTCTGCCGCTACACCCTGGACAGACTCTTCTCCTTCTCCATCCTCACCGCTCGGGTCTTTGCCGTCGGTGATCCGGCTCATCACGCCGATGGCTCGGCTCAGAAATGCATGTAGAGCATGAAATGTCGCTGACATGAATCGTACTATCATCCTTTATTTGATCACATTGATCAAAGTCTCTTGTACAGCCTTCAGCGGCTGACTATGTATCTACAACAGTATTTCCACTCTTGTTTCTCCCATGTATACATGCAGTGTATTTCCAATGGAATTATTATCTAACATATTTATTCAAATCATATTTATTGTATTTATTTATTGCTATTTATTGAAATTGGTATTTGTTTGTATGCAGAATAAATACAATGTTCATAATAAACAATATGACTTTCATCATCATATGTGCTGTGGTTCGTACATTATGTCATAGTGTCTCTCATGTTCCTTCCACTGAAATCAATCATGATAAATATTGCCTTATTAAGGAAAGTTAGGAAGTTACCTGCACTGAAAACTATTTTCTTCGAATGAATTCCCAAAACAACACCCCGACAAACTGCTGACATAAGGAGGAAGCTGTGCTTTCCTGAAAGATTCCTGCTGCTCTTCAGAGAGGCACAACTTCCTGCATACTTCCTCCCAGTCTGTTTATTACAGCAGATGTGTTCACTCGGACACTCTCACACTCTGGTGATGCAATGTTACTCCAATGGCGCTTCGAGGCAAAAAAAAAGGAAGGTGTCACATTTAAAGGGGAAGAGGAAGTAGCAGTGAGCTAATTGTAAAGGTACCGGATTGCTCAACAAGGAAGTTTGTTCTCCGAGTGACTTAATATGCAGAATTCATTCATCCTCTCATCATGTCCTACCCACAGGAATCCTATCTTTGAAAATAAAATCTCCAAACTTTACTGATGGACATGTGTCATGGCCTTCCTCAGAAGAGGAAATATTTTTTTTAATCTAAAAACTTCCCAAAAAGCTTTACAAGTAAGATACGAGAGTGATATGATCAAAGATGCACAAACAAAATCACATAAATGCATAGATAAAAGAAAAGTTCAAGAACAATATATAATTCTTGTAATATATACAATAATGTACAAAAAGCCTGCCTGGTGGTCTTACTGTCACATACTAAAAAGATACAATCTGCTAAGCTTTGAGAGTTTTTTTTCCCAAACATATCAGTAGTCCAGCCCCAGAGCCTCTTTCCAGATAAATCCAAAGACAAGAGAAACTAGGAGCATTGCGAGAGACAACTGTAGAATAAAATACCTACATCGTAGATCCAAATTTGGAGAATCAGCATCAGTTTAATGCTTTGCAGGTTAAATTGCATCATCCCTATTAAATAAGCAAATATAACAAGAAGCACAAGCGGCTCTATGCGGCAGTAATGCTCATTGTAAAGAAAAACAAAGAAATATGAAAAGAAATGTTGAAGTTGAAGTTCTGTTTTTGATCTTCGGCGGTCAGGGTGAAGTAACCAGAAGGTGATGTCAGGATAAACATATTTGTTCTGCTTTATTGTGTTATTGTGTAAGCATTAAAAAAAGTGATGTGCAGTGTTACTGTAGTTTGTTTGTGTGAGGGTGATGCAAGAGCAGGAAGGTGAACACGTTACAGTAAGTCAACATTCATGGTGCTGTGTGAGATGTGAACCTGATCCAGGTGATGGTAGTAGAAAAGAAGTTAAAGGAAACGGCGTGTTGGAGTCGTTGGCGTCTAGCAGTGAAGCTGCAGATGCAAAGAAACGACTACTAACTGTAGGAGAAACCCTGCGTGACCTAGTCTATGAATTATATTCCATTCTGCCAATAGATCCTCCCTGAAATGTGACCAACACTGGACCTTTAAAGGTTCACCAAAGAGAGTTCACAGAAACAAAAGTTCATAAAACAATCACAACTCAAGGCCCATTAATATAAACATACAATAAAAATGTTTGCCGGTGACTGCCTGAGTCAGCAAGCCAAAGTTCCTCAGGATGTCCCGTATGTGCAATCCAAGGGTCACTCGTTATGTGAATTTTACGTCACTTCCTTGTTTAATTTTTCTACACGCCATTCACGCCACGGGGAAGTAATCTGCTCAGCGTGCCGGTAACAGCGTGTTTTTGTTTTCATTCCCTGTGCATTAGTCATTTGGGGCGGTCGAAGATATTCTTCCCCTCTACGTTGCTCTTACCGTCTATCAAAAGTCACATCCTAGATTTCATTTAAAATTTAATTTCCATGCTTGAATTTACTGTTTCTAACACTAGCCGCTGCTGTTTATTCCGAGAAATTTGAGCTGCAACTAAAAAAAACAGTGAATAGACTTTAACTGTTTACTTTATTTCAACTCGTACACCAGAAAACCCCGTCTACATGATGATGTGTTTGAGTTTGAGAGCGACATTCTGGCTCCATACTCTCACTATTGACTACGAAGCACGATGTTGAAGAATGCTTTGATTTGTGGATTTGAGCCACTGCGGGTGAAAAAGATTGTGCCAGAGGTTTACAGACGGTGAAAGCGTTTAATTATCTGGGTTTCTGTTTAGTCATTTTGTGCAACGTTGCAAACCAATGAGCAGTTCTGCTTTAAGGCAACACTGGTTTCCTACATCAGGGTGATACAGCGCCTTGATTTGGCATGTATTTAGTAGCTCCTGTTGCATGCACAGTTATCCTGATATTTATCTATATGCAAGTAAAAAACAGTAACACTTTATCTGCATAGTCCGCCTACAGATGCATTTGTACAGTTCTCTGACATTTCACCACTGTGGTTAAGCTTTGGTTAGGGTACGTTCATGAAAACCACTTTCTATCCACAGACAATGTGAAACAGCTGAAAGGGTACAAACACACAATATAAACTGTATATAAATCTGTAGGCAGACTATCCAAATAAAGGGTTACCAAAACAACAAACATTATTTTACATTACAGGTATCAATAATTGTGGGCTGTGTGTTTACAATCAGTGGTGGAAATAAACTTTTAAGCAGATTTAAGTAAACGTAGAAATACTCTTTTACGAGTTTGCGTTCAAAATTATACTTAAGTATCATTATTAAAAATGTATTGAAATTATTGTGCAGAATTCTCCTTTGTTATATTATTATTCATTGTATGTTATATAATTCGACTGATGTATTAATGTGTAAGATGCTTTTCATTGTTGTAGGTGGTTGAGGTGAAGCTCATTTTAATTAGCTTTATAATTAAATATATCCTGTTAATAAACTGTTTACCTTGAAAACAACAGTTAACAAAACACTCTCAACTCAAGGCCCATAAATATACATACAAATAAATATAAAATGTACATTTAAAAATGTGTTTCAATCAACGCCTGATTCAGCAAACCAGCAAGCAAGTTCCTCAAGACATCCAGCACATATCATTTATGGGTGTAATGTGAATTTTACATCACTTCCTTATTTTAATTTCTCCACAGACCGCTCGTGGTAGAGGGAAGTGATCTCAGCGCTCAGCCTGCCCGGCAACAGCCGTCATCTTGTTTTTATAATCAGCAAATGATGATGTGGTTTGTATATCCAATCTGAATATATATATGTATCTACAGATGTTTGAAATGTAGAGGAGTAGAAGCATGGCTAGATTAACCTGTTAGGTTAGGAGCAAAAAAAACAGGCTCTTCCTGACCCTTAACCCCCTAACTGCCTAAAGCCAGGCCTGCACAATACAGTTGATTAATGGGAGAGATCCTTTACGCTGCACTCGAGTACACCACTTGAAGGATGAGGGAGGCTTCATTCTATATTTTTCTTAATTGTCTTACGTGTCAAAAAATCTAAATTAAAAGATCAAAACCAACAAGGACCTTAATTGATCTCTTAATTTATGTAACATAATTTCTGTGGCACTGCTTCCTACTAAAGATGAAAATCTTATGTGGCTACCAGATACACAGTTTCGAGTTTAGTTTATGATATATTTCTCAAGGTGAGTGTATATTACTAAACAGTTCACCGAAGGTTAGTTTCCATCTGTAGTCCCCTGAATTGAATAGCCTGAAACTAAGAAACAAGTTTTAAAAGAATAATCATGATTAATTGGGTAGTTTAGCTACCCAAGCTGGAGTAAATAGATTAGATTGATCAGGGACTGCTGTGGATTTGGTGGTTGAGTGGATAATAACTGCGGCAGGACAGTATATCTGAGATGGGACAGACTACTTCTAATGGTGTGTGAACAACAATGGAGCTCTGTGGGACAGAGGGAATCTACATCAAGGTCAGTGCCTGCAGACACACAATACTTACTAGTATGATATACGATTGCAAAAAATACAGAATATCACCAGCCCTTTAAGTACTTTCCACCACTGGCTTCAAAGCACTTTTGTACCAACCCCCCAGTGCCTGCAGGCCTTTTGTTTGTGGTGCATTTCTTCAGTCGTAGTCATTTATTTCACTTTAATTTGAATTTCTAAATACAATTTTTGGTTTATTTTGTGTTTATTTGTTTAACAACCCTACCTAGGATGTCATATGGGGCAAAAATATAAAAGAAAACAAGCATAAAGCTGAAGTGAAAGTGTGAAAGCTGTAGGCTGGAGAGTGAAACTTAAAAAAAGCCAAAGTGTAAACACTCATCCCTTTGTAGTTACAAGGGAATTAACTCTGATTTTAAACTATATTGCTCATATTTTTGGGGGGAGGCGGGGAGGGGGATTTCTTGCAGGGCAGTTTCCACCACCACCACCCCCTCACCTCACCTGTGTACCTGCCGCTGATGAGGACAGGAGGACGGGGCTGGAGTTTTGACAGATGTCCGCCGCAGCAGTGGAACCAGCCCAAACCTAACGAAGGCGGGGTTAAAGAAGAAACAAGGAATTTCCTGGTGAGGCTACGACAACACAGGAAGGTAAAGTTTGCTCCGTTGAAAATGTGAAGTTTTAAAGCTCTAAAAAAAGCCGCCCGGGCGAGGTTACTTTATCTCGATTGTGCAGCGAGAAGTGGTTGAACTCCTGCTTCGGTAGTAACGCGTTGATCTGCAGCCCGGCGGGTGGACGTGACTTGAAGCTAACGTTAGCTCTTTAGCTCACGTCGCGTTAACGTTAATCTGACGTTAACTGTCAGCTGGGGTTGGAAAAGTTAAAAGTCAGGATTGTTTGTGAACGCTTACTGTCATATTATCGTACGGTATTAACGTTATTACCACTTTATTGTGGGTTTTTTTTATCGCTGTATGTGTGTTAGTGTCTGAACGTTGCGGCTTGATGTAACAGTGTGAGAGGAAGCGCATGTTTAGTCACCCAGAACAACTCAGTCGGGCGGAGTCTCTCTCTCTCCCCCCCCCCCCCGGCGAGCAACAGAAAAACTAATCAGACAACAAGTTTAGATTTGATCCAGGTGGCGAATTTGCACACTTCCTCATAGTAATTGGTGGCGGCTCTGACATTTCAACGTTATTGGTGGCGCTACACGCGCTGTTTGCGGTCAAAACGTTGGCAGACTTATTCTTTGCGAGCAGTTAAACATTAGAACCATAAGGAAGAAAATAAAAAAAGTTCTGTATCTGATAAACGTGGAATTATGATCACACTCCGGCTGGC